ATCAATATTCACATGTTTTTTTTCCTCAAAAATATACTGTGATACATATTGTGATTGAATCATTCACATTAATTATATATCTTATTTTATAATATTGAAAAATTACGCATTTTTATAAACAGATTCTTAAAATAAGGTAGTGAAAATGCAAAATTTCAATAAATTTGTTTTTCATTTGTTTATATATGGTTCGATAGAGCTTGAAAAACTAATCACCAATATATGTATCTTTATTTCGATTCGATCACTGTTTACCAGAGAAAAATGCTGGCAAAGTTGAATGACTAAAAATCAACCTTTATTTGATGAACTATTTTTCCTAGAAAGATTTAAAAATACTTTTTTTTAATCTTTTCTTTGAAATTTTTAAAAGTACTATGTTCTGAATCAGCATGAAAAGCTGAGTAAAACGGTGTTATTCGAATAAATGTAGAGTTGTTAAAACTAAAACAATTTCTTCTAATGTGAACAGAGTCTTTGCACTAAAAATATGTATTGGTGACTATTACTGTAAATCTATCTAGCTTTTCGTGACAAGACATAGAAGCAAGTTTCTTACCTTATTAGAATGGTTAGACCATTGGCTATAACGGTTACAATTTGCTGTTTAAAAATTGTTTTCTATTGTTCAAGAAATTTGTATTTTTAAAAAAAGATGCGAAAGCCAGGGTTTTTGTAAAATCTTTATTTTGGATATATTTTCACTTTTTTGTCTTAATATAGGTAAAAATTCAAGAAGAACTCGAAAGATAGAACCTAATGATTACCAAAGCCTATTCAAACACATTCCAAAACTCATCTTCCATCAAAAGGAAAACAAGCTAATAAGCAATTTTTTATTTTGTTCCTGTACATGTTCGAGAAGGTTTTTTTTGTAGTTTCACCAGAATATAGCAGTTAAAAAGGATTCTTCACAGCTTTATCCTGTTCGGTGAACGCGTTTTTTGTAATTTTTTCTTTCTGTTTAGTCTACATACCCTTCATGTCGTCAAACATGTGATTAGTTGTTTGTGTGTTCACTTGTTCGTTCTGCCTGTATTGTCTGTATCGAAATATGAGTTTACTTCTTTGCAGATTTCTATCTTTGTAAAGCCTGCTACATTCTGTAAATTGTACAGTTTGAGCTTCAATTTTTAGTATGTAACTTCGTTGTAAACAAATACTTTGGCTTTAGCTATTTAAATAGACTCTTCAAATGCAACATTAAATAATTTCTAATATTTTAGTACACCAAAATAAAATAAACGTTGTTTTAAATGAACTATTTATGCTAGCAAACGTTGATAGAACCGAATTCTTTATTTGTAAATGAAAGTTTATGAAAACAGATATTCAGGAGATTAAAGATGAAATTTCTTCAAAATATGTTACACCATTGATATACATCACTGCTCGTCATTTTAATGGAAAATAAGTTGAATAGGATAAGAAAATCGGAGTAATGCCGATTACAGCACATCATAAGTACGGTAGCATTTTGAGATCTAAACTTTTGTTGAATAACTTTCCAAAGATATTAGAGGCTTTAAGAATTATCATCATGCGAAAGTCTATAGCGAAGTTTTGCCAACATACATTTAAGATGTATTAGAATACGTAAGGGGCATCTTCAGTTAAGAAGCATCGATTCGGCTACTTGACATTTCATTTTCTGTTCTTTCCTTCATTTATTCTATTTTCTTCAATTCGTCTTTTTTGAAAATCATAGTAACTTGGAGAGTTTTTGAATAGGTTCTGGTCATCATTAGGTTGTATCTTTCGAATTCTTCTTGAATTTTTACGTATACTAAGACAAAACATTAAAATATATCAAAAAAAAGTTTTCCCAAAAAAGATAATTTTCTTAGTTTTTGCACAATTCTTTTTTAAATATGGAGTTTTCAAAGAGTAGAATAGAGGTTTAAAAAACTAGGTCGTAAACATTGTAGCCCATGGTGTAGCCATTCTAATCAGATAAGAAACTTGCTTCTATGGGTGTGGGTGGGTGTGGGTGTGTGTGGGCGTGGGTGTGGTAGTGGATGTGGATGTGGGTCTTCAACTCACCGACACCCACACCCACACCCACCCCACACCCACACCCACACCCCATCCCACACGCACACCCACACCCACCCACATCCACCTACACTCGCACCCTCAAGATGGATGCTTCTTTTTGAAATGATTATTTGCGCATTAGCATATTATTAAAGATTGAAAAGAAAAGAAACGATTTTCGTTTTTTTCTTTCAGGTTGGATCAGATGGATTATATAGGACAATGAAACTGAATTCATAGGAAAAAAATTGCAATAACTCAATTGTTTTATTTTCTTTTCTGTGTACGGTTGAAATTAACGATGCAGCTGCGAAACTAACACCTTCTTCAAATGTATTCACAATGCTGAAGGAGCGCAACATCTATGAAATTCGAATTCTTCTTCTATTCCATAAAAACAAACCAGAAATGCTGCGAAGTTTGTTTATAAATTACACCCTGACGTTGCTGATGGATTCGTATTTCACTGAAAAATAGTGCAGATGTAATTATGTTTACTTATTTATTGGCTTGAGTTTCAGTCTGGATGGTTGCGAATGAGGGTAGAAATCAGGCTGCGGCTCGATATTTACACGTAAGTGCGGATGTGAATCAGCGTCCCAGTTGGTGTGTATATGTTAGTGTAGCTGCTACTGTGAGTATCTGGGTGTGGATATGTTGAAAGTGCTGTGGATGTGAGTGTGTGAGGAGAGGTGTGCGTGTAGATTTTTTTTATTGTGCTGAATTTTATTCGTGACATCCAAACATTGTTTTGGAAGATTTTTTACAATTTTTGCGGACGCTTACGAATGTATGCAATGGACAAAGATAACGATAACAAACAGAGAAAGAATACAAAGAAGTGAAAACGAACATAATGAAAATCGAATTCGAGCCAATGATGACGATGTAGCGTGCATCGTTGCTATTCTTTTGCTTATTCTTCCGATACGGTATATCTTGCCAAGAGGTGTGCGTGTAGATCTGAATGCAAGTGGATGTGGTTCTGACTCAAGAACAAAGACACCAACACTTCACACTCAACCTACACCCACCCACACTCCACATCTGCATCCATACTCAACTTGGCCCATACCCAAAATGAAGAAAAGACGCCATGAAGATATTTTATATACGAAAGGAATAAAAACAGAAAATGTAAAACTAATATTTTGAATGCACAAAAATTAGAAAAAAAAGAAAGTTCTTTGGGGGAAACAAATAGAGCAAAACTAAGTAATTATATAATAACGTTTAATATATTTTGAATTGAAAAAACATGCTCAGAGTTATATTTCATCGCTGTTCGTTTTAATTAGACGTTTGAAGTTGTTGAGAGAGCTATCGGATCTACAAAAATACAAGAACGAGGTTTTCAATCAAAACACCAATCTATGTTTTTCTATATAGATATAAGAAGAAAATCTTCATTTTAAAAAATCAAATACCGATGTTTCATTAATATTATTTACTTTTACGATGGAACATTCCCAAGTAATACGGCGCGTTTGTCTTCATATTAAGCTCTTAGGTAGGACTTATAGTATAGGAAAAAAATCTAAAAGAGTTCATGGGATTGTGCTTTTCTTCTTAAGTTATGACCATTTTACTGTATTTTCAGCCCCTTACAGTGTTAAGGAAAAAATCTCAACAAAAAGTTTTAACTTGAAAATTTCTCCGATATTAGATCTTATAGTCCTTGTTATATCCTGAAAATTTCAGCTCAAACGAATGGTTTCTTTTGGAAACAGTGCATTTTCAAAAAATCACTACTTTCTGACAACAACAACTTAGAAAATAGTTCATTTTGAGATACTCCATATCTTAACAAAACCTCTTTCGTTTTAGCTGAAACGTTCAGTATATAATAAGGACTATAAGATCTATCGCTGGAGAAATTTTCAAGTTGAAACTTTTTGTTGAGATCTTTTTAACACTTTATGGTCGACTAGGAACACAGTAAAATAGTCATAATTTGAGAAGAAAAGCATAATGGCACGAACTCTTAGATTTTTCACCTATACTATAAATTCTACCTAAGAGCATAATATGAAGACAAATGGACAGTATTACTTGAGAATGTTCCCTCGTAAATGTAATTTCAATGATTCCATCAGGACAACAACTAACAGTCTACAGTTTTCAATACTTCAAAGAAAATGCAATTTTAAACATTCGCCATATTTTCTCAATATTGACAAAAGTTATGATAGGGATGCAATAAATCCTGTTTTTTTGCAAAAAGATTGTAAATCTTCAGTATAAAAACCCTCAAATCCACCCAAAGCTTCGTGTCAGTTATATGCAGTTTTATTTGCTCTATCTGATAGTATTGTTTATTTACTATATCCTATAAGAGATCTGGTAAGAATTTGGTGAGATTATACACATTTTTCGACAAATCTCATCAAATCGTTCCCAAATCTCTCATGGAATTTGGTAAATAAACACTACTATCAGATAGAATGAATAAAACTGCAGATAATTAACACAGAGATTTGGCTGGATTTTGGGCTCTCACATATCGAAAATTCATAATCTTTTTGTAGAAAAACAGGATTTATTGCGTCCTTAAGTGATTGAGACAGGCATTTTGTTTCAGAGAAGGACTGTTGAATAAAACTTTTTCGTTCGTAGAGTGTCGAAAAATAAGAATCTGTCTCATATTTTGCAATAAACATTGTGAACAAGGCTTTCTGAAGCGTATGGATAATGAAAAATTTTCGTCAAGTGAAATCTCGTTTTCATTTATTTTTAAATGCTTTGAAAAAACGACAGATTATAAACAATATTGATCAAAATAGTGTCAGAGAAAAATACGTAACATGTTTTGTTTTCTCTATTGCTAAAAATTGCATGCCACTATAGCTGTTGTCGTAGTAGAATCATAGATGTTACATTTACTCCTCTTTAATGCTCCCAAATACTTGTAACATCTACCACAGGGATCAAATATAACTGTCTATGCACATATCTTAACTTACTTTCATTATCTTCATCGTCATTCTGATCAGCCACTTCATCTTTTTTTGGTTGAAATAAAAACATGACGACAATAAGTATTAATGAATAAGGCATGGTGTAAAATGTAATATCAAACTAAATTACTGTACTTTATTAAGCAGAGAAAAAAAAAGACAACGAAATTTTTACCCAATTTCTTTTAATATTTGATGTGCATGTATTATCAAATAGAGCTACAATTGACCAAACAAGCATGGATAGATTTGCAATTAAAGCAAATATTAATGTATTTCGAAAATATCGATAAACATTTAATTTAACAATATTGTTCTTTGAACGCACTGTTTTTATTGTTATGGATAAACTCTTTATTATCCAAGAAATAATCTTCATATCCATGACGAATAATACCATACCCGATATCATCTGTATAGTACTTAGTTCACCGTATTTAGCATGTAAATGATCCCACCCTTCGATTATGAAAACAATAAAGTAAAGTAGACCGACAACAAATATTTTTAATTTTAATGGTCCTATATGCATTGTAGCTATACCATAACCAAGTGAAATAATAACATAAAGCATACGTAGTACAGTGCGCTGTAAACAGGATAAAAGTTCAGCACTAACTGTAAAAAGAGTAATCTGATACCTAAAAACAAAATTATAAATTAGTTTTATTTAGTTCTTTTGTTTTTCTTTGTTCAACTATTTACCCACGTCGATTAACAGTCTCATATTCAACAAAATATGCTGCTTGTTGAATCATACATAGAAATATACTACCACCAATGTAAAAATGAATGTTGTGCAACTTTCGCCAAAATAGTGTACACCAAAGAAGAAATAAAATGGTGTATATAGCATAGATACCAAACATAACACGATACAAAACTAAGGCTGGATATTCATCCGCTGTAATATAACCACCATAGCGATTTTCGATTGATACAATAATAGAAATATCAAAATAAAAACTGAATGATTCAAAAAAGTCTGGTTCAAAAATTTCAATAAAATAATAGCCATTAGTCCATGTTCGTAGTATTTTATCTGCTTGTTCACTTACAGCAAATGTTGATGGTGATTTTGTATTATTTTGTTTTATTTTCGATACATCACCAGCAAAATGATGTTGATCTTCGTCCTTACCTAAGATATTTAAGTTTGAAATTTAGTTAAAAACAAATAGTTAAGTTTACATTGATTTACAACTATTTGTTCCAGTTTTTGTCGTATTAAACTATGAGTGTCATTTGGTGCTGTAATGTTCGTCAATTCATCAACATATAACTCACCCGAATCATCACAATCCACTTGTTGCATTGTAAACATTCTTTGTTCCATTTGATTCCATAGTGTCAAATAATTGGCTTCGTAGGTCGATGGTATCTTTTGTCTGTTTTTTCCCAGTTTTGGGCCATCACGCCAAAAGGAATAAAACAATGGTAATGAACATTCAACAACGCGACCAATTCGGCCATGTATTTGAATTTTTCTTTTGTCATGCTTGTCATTTAACTTACTTTCGGTTTGATTTTGAATTTCCTTTATGTTTGCAAATGATTCATGACAAATAACTTTTAATCGAATTTTTGTATCACTAGTTAAAGCTCGATACACCACTAGAGGTGAAACACTATATGACCAGGGTAAAGTCACGATTCCATCAAGCAGAGTAGTCGACGAATATTTTATTAAAAAGAACAATAATAAATAAGTGAAAAGACATTCTTTCATTATAATTAATCTGCAAAAGAAAAATACTATTTAGAATTGTCAAATGTTCCTTTATTAGGTTCCTTTCTGTTCCCTAACTAATTTGACAACTCTATCCAAATCATTGAATCATAATGAGTACCGTCATAAGAAAACCAACCTTGAAAACAAGGAGGGTGTGGGTGTGAGCGGGTGGGTGGGTGTACACGGATGTGGGTGTGGGTGTGAGTGTGGGTGTGGAGTGGGTGTGGGGGTGTGGGTGTGGGGTGTGTGAGTGTGGGTGTGGGTGTGGTATAAGAATAGATTCATACTCACACCCCCCCCCCCCCCCCACACTCACACCCACCCACACCCACACCCACACCCCACTTCCACCCACACCCTACACTCACCCACACCCCACACCCACATCCACACTCACCCACATCCCACACCCACCCTCTGTAATTTTTGTTTGCAACAGTATAGTGAAAAGAAGAAATGAAATTAGCTGAAGCAGGTTGGTTTCTAATACCATATGCTTGTGCTGTTGTATTTATTCATCGATCCTGACCAAGAGCGTTATTTTAGCATTAAATTAACATATCACCGTAGAAGGATGGGACTGTGGATGAAAAGAAGACTCATGCTCATATCCACATCTATACTCAGGTGACCATATTACAATATTTTGCTTTTTATACACGTAACTTTTTCCAAGATGCGGCTAATTTCTGATAGAAGATGAAAGTTCCCCTGCCCTTAAAAACAATTAAAAGTACTGGTCTGAGATAGTCTCTCGAGGTCTGGACGGAAACAGGCATAGTTGATCACGCAGATTACTAATCTGCTGATTTTTTTTCCGAACACTCTTTCTTCGAAAACCCGCTACGGTGATATGCTAATTTGATGCAAACACTACACCATTAGAATTAATGGCGTTAGCATAAATGTATGCTTTGGTGTTAGCATTAAATTAACATTATAATTAATGCTAATACATAAACTACCATACCTGTAGTGTTTTTTACCAAGTATTTGGAGGCATTTCATGTTGGGTGGGAGTGGATGTAGGAGTAGGTTGAAATCGATACGTCTATTTGTATCCAGCCTCACAGTCTTAAATCTGATAACTACACCAAAGTTTTAATGTGGCTACTTGGTGGATTATCGTGCTTCTCTATTCTTAATAACACATAACGAAAAAATAAAATATCTTGAGGGTGTGGTTGTAGATGCGTGGGTGTAGGTGTGCGTGGATGGGTGTGAGTGTTGGTGTGTGGGTTGTGAGTATGGGTGGAGGGTGTGGGTGCGTGGGTGGATGTGTAGGTGTGTGTAGGTGCGTGGGTGTGTGTCTAAGGTATGTGGGGTGTGGGTGTGGGTGTGTGGATGTAAGAAGAGAAAAAAAGCACCCATGTCCATAGAGTCACAGGCGCACCCATACACTCACACCTATACACCGACACCCTCACACACATCCACACTCTAGGTCTTCTACAATAAGCTAAAATCTTACTTCCCGTTTTTGAGTAGTAGACACAATCAAAACACTCGATTGGATACTGCGTCTGAGTTACGTAGAGAAGAACATAACCATGGTGAAGAAAAATTATGATGAAAAGGAGCAAAATCCATAATAGTAATCTCATTTTACGATTTGACATTTTGAGATGAATACGACTATTTTAGTTAATGGACTAATGTCCATTTCAGAGATAAGTGGCCGTGGATATTTTTCGAATAACTTTTGACAAGAATGAGATAGAGACTCGTGGTTGTCACTATCGGAAAGAGACCATGGAAATGCATCGAACCATATATAGAAAGATTTTTCTAACGACTATCCTGAAGGTTTTAGTCAAACGTTTTCAAAGAATTGCGTTTTTCTCCTACGTTGAAAAATTAATTTTTCTATCGAAATACCACAAAAACCTCCGTTTTTCGACTATTTTGTTGAAAAACTGGGTGGAAAATTGCACTTTAATGGCTAAAATATGTTGTTGATAGTATAGTCCGTCCAAAAAATCCGTGCATGTGACTGTTTTTTGAATAACTCGAGGAAGCAAACAGCTAGAAACCTGTAGTTTTCATCAATAGAAAGAGAAGGAGTTAAGGCGTCTTTTTCTCTGATAATGTGTCAGATGAAATTCTTTTAACACTGGTCATCTTTGAAAAATAAAGAAAATAATGCATGAGAGTAACTTACTATACACATGAAGGTTCTATTATGACCTTTAATTTAGATTGAGGGACTTCAGATCTATAGTTCGAAACATAATACACTTTCTTGCAATTCATTACATATTCATCAAAGTATCCAGCTGTTTTGGCAAAATGTGTAAAAACAGTAAACAAATCAGGAAATTTCCTTATTATTTGCACATGTAAATACACGATTTCATTTGGTCCACATTATAATGCAATTAGAGAGTCATTTGCGTTGCCTCTTGAACTACAGATCTGAAGTTCCTCTATCTAAATTTAAGGTCATAATGGAAACTTCATGTGTATAGTAAGTCACTCTCATGCATTGTTTTCTGTATTTTTCAAAGATGATCAGTTTTAAAAGAATTTTATCTGACATATTATCAGAGAAAAAGATGACCTAACTCCTCCTCTTTCGATTGGTGAAAACCGCAGGTATCTAGCTGTTTGCTTTCTCAGGTTATTCAAAAAACAGTCACATACACAGATTTTTTGGACAGACTATAGTTAGGAATAGAGTCTTTACATAGTTTTTCTAGCTCTTCAATTGGTGGTTCAATCACACTCCTCAAAATCAATAAATTAATATCGTAATCATCAGATGTATTCTCTTTTCTTTGAAACCTTACATAAAATTTTTAGAAAAGTCATTAGAAAAATTTTTCGATATATGGTTCGATGCATTTTTATCTGATCTTTCCAACGATAAAAATCGCAGATTTCTATCTCATTCCTGTCAAAATTTATTCGAAAAATATCCACGGTCATTTATCTCTGAAATGGACACTAATACAAATCTAATCTATTTTGTCCCCTCACTAGTGGCGTAACCAAAGTACGGTATGAGCGGACTCAGTCCACTCACCGGTAATTTTTAAAAAAGCAAATTTTTTATAACAGTATTTGTAATGGGGTATCTAAATGGGATATGAGTCGGCAGCGCCCCTTCACACAAGGTCTCTGTCCATACACTGATAGGAAAAATGTTAAATAAATACTTAGACATGCTCATTATCATAGCATAGTAGAGTGATTTTGTAAGAGTGTGGGGCGACGCTCACCCACCCGTGCTTTTCTGGTTACGCCACTATCCTGCACCATCTAAATTTATTTGCATCTACATTACACTCTGTAAAATGTGAATGAGTGAATTATTAGCAATCATTCTACACTCATAAATCATTGATATTGTCATTCTATTGAATAAATATGCTAGTGCAAGTAGTTGAGGCCCATAAAATAATTGTTAACACATCTAGCTATTAATTAACACGTCAAAGCTGAAGTTTAACGATTTTCAGATAATGACTTTTCTATAACCGAAGAAAAAATTTATCTCTTAGCCGTATGGTACATGCATCAAAACTAAATTATCAGATCTCTAGAATCTTGTACTCTAATGCGACATTGAGTTATGTACTCTAATTTTTGCTCTAGTAGAAAGTGTCATATCAAAAATGTGATCTTAATTGTATTGACAAATTCGTACAAAGAATCATGGACTTATGGCTTCAACATTTAGAAACGAAAGGAAAAAAACTAATATGAATAATTCTTAAGTTTTCTTCTTTTACATCTAAACGAAAAAAAAAATACCTTGAAATTCGAATATATTACGCAACGTACATTATAGCTACGCCATACTGTGAAATTCTCAGTTCGGGTGATGATAGTTTTAGTTCAATCTGAACATGTCAAATTACTCAGTTAATAAGAATAAAACAACAAAAAGTAAAGTACATTCGTATAATTTTAAGTTAGATTCAACGAAGAAAGGAAAACTCTATAATTGAAATGCATTCGAGTTACTTACTGTATTGTGGCGTAATTGAAGTTCCGTCTTTCTTTCTGAGATTTATTTTAGACTTTCAGTATATACACCTCGAAAAAATAAGCTTTAATCTGAATTTCGGAATATCGTTATCATAGCAGCGTATTTTTTTAAAAATAATCATATATTCTGAAAGTGCGTGGAGTCTTCTATCAGTCAATATACTGGCCGTTTCGTTTGAATATCTATGTATATATATTACTAAAAAAACTGAGTGTAATGAAGGCATCCTCATGTCCAGATTCCCACAGACTTTATTTTGTCACAGTCACCAAAACTAAGTTGTTAATTTTTTTATCATTATAAAATTATCTATTGGAAAAAGTAACTATATATTTGGATAGAGCTTGAAATTCTCTATCACTCTCTGTATATTTTCTTATTTCATTATATTAGTTTATCAAAAAAAAAATTTCAGTACAATGAATGTATCGTCAATTGGCAAATGCCAACAATGCGCGTTGCTCGTTAGTTGTGGAGTTCCACCTTGAAATTTATTATTCTTATGGAAAAATTTATTTTTGAAAGACAATCCCAGATTGGGTGTGGGTGTGAGTGGGTGTGGGTGTGGGTGTGGGTGTGGGTGTGGGTATGGGTGTTG